CACCCACCCACCCACCCCCACGCACGCAGGCACGCAAGCACGCACGCATGCTTGCGCACAGGCATACAATCACGTGCATGCACGCATAATTATATGTGCGTACTTACCCGCTTGCAACCACACTTACATGCATAGACGACGACGCGGATAGATGCCGGGATTGGAAGAGGGTACTATGGAACGACAGCTCGAGCGGTAGGCTGAAGTGCGGAAGGTCGCAAGGCCGTATTTTCCTGCAGGCCCTGAGATTCAAGTGGCATCCAGAACCCGAAATCGAACAAGTACAGCTCTCTGGTCAGGGCTTTCTTATTCTAATCATGATGCTGACGGGAAGAGGAGGAGGGCAGGAGGAAGAGGCTCAGGCTCATGGCCCTATTCATGATGACGGCGACAAGCACGAAAATGATGGTGGTGATGATCGCAGAGTAGCCGACCAAATCTTCTTGAACATTGCGCTCAGAACTTGTTTATGATGCCATGCTTTACTGTACTTGCTAGCCGATGCCTGAAGCGGAATCCGTCCAACATCTGAGCTACAAAGGAAATCTCCGAGGCCCTGTCCGTGGTGGTGATGGTGGTAGTGCTCGTCGTGGTTGTGGAGGTAACCGTTGAAGTAGTGGTAGTGCTCGTCGACTGATGCAAAAAATCGCTGGGCGGAAATAAGGGTTCCGGGTTGAACCTGTGACTCCACCTCCACAAGCACAACCCAGTTGATGAGCACTGAGGACGACGATGACAAGGGCACGAAAACGACGACCACTACTTATCCTGTTCACATAATACATACATAGACATTCCTACATAACCAAGATCAATACTTGGACAACTGCAGCTGCGACTAGTGTGACGACAGGATCACTAAGCAGTGCTATGGGTCCTTGCAGCCATCAACGTCATGGCTGTCATCATCATCACCACCATCGTCATCATTATCACCATGACCATCAACATAATCATCTTCATCGTGGTCACTGGTCACCATCAACATAACTGCCATCATTCCAGTTTAATCATCATGACAGTCACGATCACCGCCACCATCATCAGCACCATCGTCACTATGATCACTTTCATGGTGATGATGATGATGATGATGATGACGGTGATGATGGTTATGATGATGATGATAATCACGATGATCATGACGATGAAGATGATGATGATGACCATCATCATGATGATGACCGTAATGGTTTTTTGTCAGATCTCATCCGCCGTGCTTTTCCCTGCTCTCTCCCGTGGCAGGATCTGTTTCTGCAGGCTCACAACATGTTAATCAAGGTGCCTTATTGCCTCAGTGGTTAGACTAAGTAGTTAGGGTTTCGGGGGGACATTTTTATGTGGACACTATGGGGGAATTTTTCACCAGACTATTCCGGCCACTATGTTTCTCAGGCATGCGCAAGATTAGCGACTGCTTCTCGGGAGGGGCGAGGCTTCGATGGGCGATCCTGCCATAATTTAAGGCTTATTCCTTAGGTAATTCAAGGTATTGGAATGGCCGAGAGCTTTGGACATGGACGATGCCAAAACCCAGACTTGCTGACACGGCACCTTGAAGCTCGATTCCAGAAAACTGATGATTTTCCTGCTTCTGAGTCCCTGTCAGTGATGGTAGTCGTCGAAGTAGTGGAGGTTGAAGTGCTGGTGGTGGTAGTGGTGGTCGTCGTGAACTGGCGACCAGGTCAGAGGAGGGTATAAAGAGCCCCGACTTGTAGTAACTGCAGCATTGAACCAAGCTACAGCTGACACAGCATAACGGCATGTACTGCACATTAAATACATCCTTTGAACAACTTACCGTATCAAGGGTCACCTTCATTCAGAACCATTGAAACCGTCCCTCTGAGTATTGCAGGCCAGTAACCAGAGGGGCTGTGAGATTTTGTGCGCGGGAAGGCGGTGAACAGAGTGTTGCTCATGTACCAACCGCGAAGTCAGCATGCCGACACTCGGCAGGGTTTAGGGTGTCATCGTGTTAGCTCTCACAACATTGCAGACAACACGAACCTTCAACCCAGAAAGAGCAGGATAACCTGAATTCAACCTGCAAGCCTTCTTGAAGAAACATGCGCCCCAATACGAAGATGCCTCGCATGCTTGATTCCGACGTGCCAGGACTTCAGTCAACTCGGGATGACCTTTGCAGCCTTGCAGCAGCAGCAACGGAGAAGTAGTAGTACTGATAGTAGCGGAAGTGTGTGGCGACTGCAATGACCAGTCAAAGTTCGTGCAAAACTAGTAGTACTAGCACTAGAAGTAGTAGTAGTGGTAGTGGTA